GTGGAAGGTTTGAAAGGGAACGAATGTCAAACCCAAGCTAATTGGCGAACTTGAAGTCGAGATTACGGGATTCCGAATCCCATTGGATCTCATTAGTCAATCCTCGGTGACTGGTGTCAGGGATTTTCATATCAGTAGCGAAAAGTAAAGTTTTCTGCACAAACAAGGAAAAGCCATCTAATAGACAAGGCTGAACACAGTCAATCGCAGCTTGTAGTCCTGATGTTACTAGCATACTTAAAACAGGTCACTGGAAAGTTAGATGGAGAATTGGGCAGTCCGCAGGAGTAAACCGAATATAACAAGGTTTTTATGTTTTGCCGATAACTAGCCGAACCTTTAAGTATAATTGTATTAAAAGCAGAAAAAATCGTCAAAGGAGGGAAAAGAGGGCGTGGTAAGACGAAAAGATTGTCATTGTAATTGTTATCTTCGGTTCCCTGATGTGTTTATGTATTTTCCTTCCTCTGGGAGACTTGAACTCATCTTTGGAGATTTTACTGGATTACTTCCACAAAATAGATTGAAAGAGAAACTTGTAAAGCATAGTGAGATGAAATCTTTTTGCTTCAGGTAGCGGTCGTTGATCGTCTTGGAGGTGAATTTGTTGGACGAAAGCGATTACATTTCGTCACGGTCTCCGTAGTCGTGGCATGTATGGCTTGTATTTTTATGATAGAGTTTACAGGTATGTTCAGATGTTACTTCAACTTTTTCTAAGTATCCTTTACAACGGAATATCAACTTTTGACCGTGAATTTTCTCATTCCAAATTTAGATGCAGGTATCAATCCGTGAAAAACTTCTCATATACAGCCCCTGAGCTATTCCAAATAGAACTGAACAGGGTTTCTGGCCTTCTCCTAAATCAGAAGCCCGTTTTATTACAGTAGTCCTTGACAATATTTACACCATGTATGGCAATGCCAACAAAAATTTTTTGATTCTTGGCATGTTGAGTAATACTACCGTTACTGTTTTGTCGTTGTGTTTCGTCAAAGCAGAATGGCTCCATTCAGTCGAAAAGAACCATCAACATGAAGGATTTGAAAATAGAAATACATAAGTAAGAATACTCATTTCGTTGACCAGTTTTGGATTTCGTATACAAACATACAGTGCTCCCAAAATCTTCCTAGCAACGATCCCATCTACATAGACAAAAATTTGCGTCAAATAAAAAAAAAATAAATCTTCACTTCTCCTCTGTTCGATGGCACAACCGCTAGCACATAATCCTCGTCGCCTATGCCTAGTTTCCTTCCCCCTCATGAACATTTGATCATGCAAAGGGCAGTGATATGCCTATATATATCTCTGAAGGCTTTAGCAAGGGTATTCAGAAGCTTTCATTACCAGATGCACGAAACGTAGTGCAATCGTGAAACTTTTTTTCGTAGCCATTCCAATGGAACAATTACGAAGTTCTTGACGATAACGATTTTCTTTGAAATGTCGAATATGTTCAGCGGTTCTATCAGAACGGTCTGAACTGAACAGCTATGAAACGTCATTGTGATAGTATTGAAAAGGTTTCAGGTAAAACTACCGAAATGGTTCTTGTGGTACGCACGTTGACTCTTCTGGCCTTTGGGACCACCGGATGCATATTTTTACAGGTTGAAAATTTGGCTCATTTTATTATGAATGGTAGATTCAAGGTCTTTAGTTTAGTTTCTTCTGGTGACAGCAGAGCTATATCCAACGGCTATCCGTAATCTGGCTAACTCCCACATAAATGTTTGTGGACGGCTTGGGAATGTATTTGGTCCACTTGCGTTCAGTTTGGTAAGTTTTTTAATCAGATGTTTGTAAAATTCATTCGTTATACAAGAGCTTTCACATTTTCCGTAAGCCGGTCCATGCGTGGGGTGCTTGAACAAATCTTGCACCTGACATATCACATTCGAGACAACGCTCACGTAGATCCTTCTATGCTGCCGTTGGCAGGCCCAACATAAGGACGAGTTTATATGAATCCAGTATCCTAGAAATCTCATCTGGTCATAGTGGCTCGAACAAAGCGAAAACTCATGAATAAAGCTCGAAACCATCTGCGAAACGGCGGTGACTTCGTTTTCCAATACAGCTTCCTCGCTTTGCGATAACAGCTCTCATTGGTCAGTGACTCTGAAAACGGATGGACCCCAGGATGGAAGTAGTCGACGACGATCTCTCGCTTATTCCTAACAAAGGAGTCCTTAAGTGACTCCCTCTGAAATGAGGAATACCACAGGCCTTCTTTTTCGGACAGCCGCTTACGTCACAGTCCACAGGATTAAGGTCCGAGGTAGAGACAGACTTATCTTTACGGAAGGCCATTAGGTGGTATCGGCATAATTGCTCATGTCTTTCTGATATGTTCACAGAGTACTTGTTCCTCGTCGACCTCCTTCCGGCTCTACAAGTTGCCGGTGCCACCCACACCTACCTGAACCATGACTTGAACCGGGTGGGCTATTCGATTTAGAGTTTTGTCGCTCATGTCTTTCTGATATGTTCACAGAGTACTTACGAAATGAGAGTCGTCCAAATGCAGCAACACGTCCTAAAGGCGGACACGTCGAGGTTGTGTTCCTCGTCGACCTCCTTCCGGCTCTACAAGTTGCCGGTGCCACCCACACCTACCTGAACCATGACTTGAACCGGGTGGGCTATTCGATTTAGAGTTTTGTCTTTGGTGTGCCCACGGCATAAGCTTCGCTGGATGACGTTGAAGGTTGTGTCGACAGGAAACGATCTCGACATTTAAGAGATTCTCGTCGAAAAACACCCTACTGGAATCTCCCCAGAGAGGTATCGAGCGAGTTGGGGGCCACCCATACATACGCACGTGCTTGTTCATTCCTAAAGGGGTCGTCGCTTTCCGGAGGAGATAAGGGTTCGAGCTTAGTCGCTCCTTGACGATGATTAGAAGGGTATGCTACGACATCCTCAATTTTCAATCAACTAGTCGCTCCTTGACGATGATTAGAAGGGTATGCTACGACATCCTCAATTTTCAATCAACTATGCCTCGGCAAATGTTCCCACACTTTAAACTGACTTAGTTTGGCGATAATAGATGTCAACCTACACCCAACCTTCGCTAGCGGTCCACCATTTCATTGTACCATTTTAATTGTTCACCATTACATGGTGCTACACGAGTTGTTCATCAAAAAAATCATTTTCTCTTGCAGGCAGAAAATCACAACTCGGCAGCAGATGAGGTGAGAGACATTACGTACTTTTATTTGAGTTCTTGTTATGAACGACGTGAAGGAGATTGTCGGAAGGGAACGAATATAAGTGTCCCCACCTCATCTAGGCTGGCAAAAAATCTCATAGTGATAGAATTTATTGAAGAAGAATAAGGATAATTGCAGTTCATTGAAATATTGCTCCCTAAAACTTATTCTATGAATACATTCATATTTGCAGTCTTCCGGAATCGTTGGCTTCCCTTATCTGATGATGGCGACGATAGGATTTCTCGACATCCTCTTCTTCCAGTTTACACTACCCGAGACCAAAGGGCATCCACTCCCAAGCCGAATGCCTGAGAAGAAGAAGAAAGCGGACGTTGAGAGCGTGAATCTCATCGTCAAATCATGACAATGACATATTTGAGAAGCAAAAACCAAAAGTATATAAAAGTTAAATGAAATAAAGATGAATTAAACTAAAATGAGTGGTCAACAAGCTGGAGTATCAACAGCCCGCCTATACCTTGATCCATTCAAAAGTTTTTGAATTTAAGCAATTTCAAGGGTCATGGCATGTGTAGGGAGAAGAAAATCTAACAGGCGATGATGTTACCGACTTCTCAACATTTTGAATTCGAATAAGCGTGAAAAAGCTCATGAAAGCAACACTTTCACATGCTAGGGAAGTCCTTTCAACTAGCACAGTAGTTACTGACGAGTATACTCTTCCGGGAATGGAAAGTAAGCTGTAAAAAACCTATAATTGTAGTAGGATATCGTTAACAATGATGTGGTTTTGGAAGGGGCGGTTTAGGGTTAAGCGATCTCGCAGTGGGCGGGTGGCGCGCCAAAGTGGGTGGAGCTATCCTAGAAATCTATGTGTTCTATGTTGTGTGTTGATCGTTGTGATTCATCGTGCGTTTCCCAATTGGTAATCTGAACACAGCAGCCCTCTGGAATGCAAAAGAAGAAGTTCGCTGGACACTTCTCACTTGAATGCGTTCCCTTTCCTTGGTCTTCCGTCTAATTGAAAAGCTTTAGCACGCGGTAGTATACACTCGGAAATATTTTTATGAAAACATCCTTAATTGCTCTTGATGTCCTTTCCAACAGCGGCGTCCTTCTTGTACCACAGAATCCAGTTGAAATTACCGTGGTTGTGAAAAAGTGGACACAAGAAACAGTCCACATTGTCTCAAGTGGAGGGTGTCTGGAAGTGCATGCCGCGTGCAAGAAGGCATGCCATCCCCTTCCCTTAACAGAAAACTTCTCCTGTCATAAACACTATTAGGCCTCCAAAACCTGTATGAGCAAATAGTTGCTTGAAAATGACCAGTTCAGCGGCCATTTTTCCTATGCTATTAGTTGTAATGGAGTCTTTTCCTAACATTTACTTCCTGATGAAGGCTTTTAGTTGAAACAGGGCCAAGGCGTTTTGACGCTCGCCGTCGACCGGTTTATGCTTCGCGATTTAATAGACTTTTGCGCGGGAGCGTGATGAAATGTAGTCGAAACGAACGAACGGGGTAATCAGAGACCGGCAACGACAAAATGACATCTTCATGAGGACAGGACATCATCATTTTCCGAAGACCGACGAAATGAGCTCAGCAAAGCATAGCATTTGATAAAAGGTAGGTGTCGTTAACATAACAGAAAATGTGGAACTTGAAAAGCTCGTCGAAGGAGCAGCATATGCTCTCGCGCAGGGTTGTTGAGTTACTTACAGTAGTGCACCGTGCACCTTGCAATTGTGCAATAATTTCCACAACCAAATTCATATATTAGATGCTCTATTGAATTGGTCGTGATTTCGCTGTCAAAAACTAAACAATTGTGATTTACAAAAGTTCGAGTAGATTTCGAAAAGGTAGGTCATCTGTACCAATAACCAAATCGGGCCGCCCATCCCCATTGATCTGTCGATCGTGCTCCTGCCGGTGCCTTTTTGTTTTCCATTAACATTTCCTTTTTTCCAATTTCTTGCTTTTGTTTTTGGCTCGTACATATTTTTTCCAGTATTTATTTGAAAACGCTTTTTTTATTTCAGAATTTTATCAAAGTGAAAGCGGAGCTCCTAACATGATGGAGAGGGACAAGCTATTGTCATGACTCTGAAAAAGCATTGAACGATACTTCCAGCTTGACTAATTGAAGGTAGCATTTATTTTTAATATGTTTCTTTCACAGGCTCTTCACTTTGAGGCTATCAGTTGAAGTACTACTTCTAAGCTACAACACTGGACCATCCTACTCGTGTAGTGCCCAGTATGGCTGAGGTGGATTTTAAATAATACCAGGCAAACAAATTCGGTGAAAATGTACATAGTTGGAGGGGGGGGGGGATTTAACCCTTCGGAATGGGAGGAGCTCCACGCGGTGGGTGAAATGGTTACTCCGTGGGTTCTAATGATTCGTGAAATATCATGATCAGCAACAGATATTTCTGACTTGATTTTGAAGCATTCGCTGCTTGTCTCGGAGGCAATGTCAAATAATGATGAGTTCATCAAAATTCATCCAATTTTATTCAACTATAGAGATCCTCTCAATCAGGAACGGACGTCATCGAAATCAGATACCTTATAATTTGCACAGTTATAGAATTCCTTTGGAACAAAATTTTTCTCTTCGAGCTACTCATCAACAAGGAGAACTTCGTGAAACGCTAACAAGAGATTCGGGTGACGTGTTTGACGGAGTGAAAGTCTTGCTCGGTTCAGCTCATCTCCTGAAACTAGTCGATCGCCAGGTATTTTCGCAACTCCTATGTGGCAATAGCCATCTAGGTGTTTCGTCTGCCACTTTAATCAAGATCAATGCCTTACGAATGGGAAACTTTCCGCGAACCAGTAATAATACGAATTTGCCGAGGATAAGCATAAGGTTTGCATCCATTTCTCAGGCCGGAGTCCCACTGAGCTTTGGGACGAGATTGCCATTGGACCGTTGAAGAATATTAAAAGGTTTTCAAGGATGCAGGAAGGATGTATGGAGTGTCTGTGTTGACTTTTCTTTCAAATTACATTGATTCTTTAACTTTGTGTATCAAAAGGTCCATTTAGCCTTTGTAATATGTCGGTATGATTAGATGATAAAAAAGCAATACTATCCTAGTACTGATTTATAAATAGAAGCTATGAGAATAGCTTCCGTTTCACAAAAATCGCTGACTCGCAGCTTCGCCCACACCTTCATCGCGGCCTCGACGTCGTCCAATTTTTACTCATCATCGCATTACCCGTCTCCCGTACCGGGTGTGGTGCAGCAGGACCGGAATCGTCGCGTCGCGGCGAGAGAGGTGCCGCGCGCGAAGGAATGCGGTAGAGCGCAGCAGCAAGTAAGAAACACAGAAATAATAGAGCTAAAATATCGATTGAGCTGTATGAAGAACTCTAGAACCGCAGTGACAAGGAGAATGGTCCGCGACTGCCGCACGCGGCAACTCGATTATACAAAACCATTTTTATTTCTCCTAGCAAAGCGTAAGAGGAACTGAAAATCTGATATGTGCCCAGGTATGAATTATTTGCTTAGACGTCGATTTCCAACTTAAAAAGGCAGTAGTTTTTGTAAATTGTTTTGAGCACCTTTTTAAATGAAACCAACAATTTTGGTTAACAACAATGTAAAGTTTCAAGTTTCTCGAACGATTATGATAACGTGTGGTCAATTGTAATTCTGTTCAGAGCATATGCGTATTGGGCGTTCCCATGAACAATTTGGATTTTTGACTTTTTTTTATTCCAGATATATAATTCTTCCATATATAGTCTGTTTCTTATGTATGATCCTCCTACAAGTATTCATTTAATAGAGATGCAATGTTGCTTTCCGAAATTCACCATATTAACAGTTCGGATTGGCTCTTTTGCTCCACAATATCTTTTTTCCGATATTAGATGTGGAAAGTGGTAATCCGAGATGGACATGGGTAAGTAACGTTCAAGAATATCATTCACCTAGAGGTTGAGCCACTCATCTTCATTTTCCTCCCAGACGAGTCTATTGGAAACTAACCG